ACACTGACGACCGTTGTCGAGGAAGGCGATGGCTAGGCATGCGTAACACATGTCCTCACCATCTCATTCGGTGTAACTTCACAGTGTCGTCCGTTGATTTCTCCTCCTTACCTAGCACTCGACGCCTAACCTCAATCTCAATATTACTCACCTTATTATGGTTGGAAACAATTGGTGACATGGCTCAAAATCGTTCTCAGTGGCGCAGATGCATTCACTCCTTGTGACTTATGATTTCCAATTAAACTGTTTTGTTCTCCGTTATTACTATTCCTTCGTCTCGCACCTCTGTTTACTGTCTATATTATGCATTTCTTCTACTTTCTTCATTTGTTTTGCGTGCTACATAGATTGTGGCGACTTGAACTGCTGCACATATGTGCAAAGTTCTATGTCGAAAACCGACCGACCGACCGACTTAACATGGGAGATAGAACGCAGACACCTATGATGAAAGACAGCTAGCCAGCCTTTTCATGTCTCCCACTTTCAGTGGTCAAGTCTCGCCGACAGTCATGAGGGAGGACGGAGTGGACTGTTGAGCAGTACACCCGCCCGTTGGTCGAAAGCCGGATATCACGTCTACGCCAGAGACGGCGTGAAGTGGCATATGCGAAACTAGCCCTCTGTATCTGTGCTGAGATTTCGTCAGCCATCAACACAATATGAAAGGCGTTGTAACAGTGTTTTGTTCAACCTCACAATTTTTAACATGATACAAAAAGTTGAGGAAACGAAAGTAATGAGACTGGTAAAGAAGTATAACAAAGTTGTACGGTACAGTTCAGTTAGGAAAACAAAACATCGCGTGGTAAAGGGTTTTCATTATCCCCTGAAAAATTTTGAGTCGATTCATTCGATCCACGAAGTCGTATTTTTTGTGTAGTTAGATGCTATTCTAGAATGATATCCATGTAACTGAAGCAGTTGATATTTTGTACTTCTTGTTCTTTTAGATGTTAGTGTAACTCTTAAAGCACTACTTTGCTCTCCTTTTTGGTGTATATTCAGGATTCTTTATGGGGGTTAGAAATTTTAAAGATAGTCAATCTATGTGGTGTTTTGTGCTCCTTTATTTGCCTTTGTAATCAGGTAATGCGGATGACAGTTTTCTCCTTCCAAATTTTGATAATGACACAAAGCTATACATTTTTTTGTTCATATTGTAGGTCACCTGTATTGTTATTTGCAGTATTTTCTCTTGCGTCTTTCACAAACGTTCACGGAACACATGGATGGGACTATTTTGTGTTCAGTTTAGAATGGCCACCTACCTATTGTTCTTCTCATACCGTAAGTTAATGTTCAAGATTTTAGAAGTTTTTATATGATCATGAAATGTGATAGTGCATTTGTCATTAACATTCAGAAGTAGTTCACTTAAAAAAACAACTGCCATCGTCTGTAGCTTCATTGTAGCATTGTGTCTGGCCATTGTATTTTACTCGGCGAAACCGTATCACACTAGTCTAACCAGCAAACATTTAGGTGGTAGGCTTACTAAGGCTACCTTTCAAGGTAATCTCATCATCTCTTCAACGATGATGCAGCTCATTGTCTAGTTCAAAACCTACTATCGGTTTGTTTTGCATATCTTCCTGATTGTTCTTTGTATTTCACCTAAAGTTTATTCTGGCAACTATTAAAAACAGCGATAAAATGCTTTAAAATGTAGGTTTTAGTTGAAGAGCACTACATTTTATGCCGATTCCTAAATCCTTGCTTAACCCTAAATCCTAACCTGTCAATGATCGAACCTCTATCCTTACCTTGGCTGCAGTTGTAAACCTAAAACTAATTTAAAACAAGCAACAAAGGTTAATAAAGCAGGATGATTTAATGAATTCATCAAATTTCGGTAGAAATCGTTAGCTGAGTACTCTACATACGGGGTTATATATTACTATTGAAATTACATCTGGAGATATAAGGCTGATAAGCAAATAAACTTCATTGAATTAGTCATGCAGAGAGACAGGTGCGAATGTTTTCCAGGTCATGTTCAAATAGATAAGGGGAGAGGGAGTATGTGAGAGATTAAAATTAAGATGAAATGCATTACACTTCAATTACATCAATTAGGTAAACAATTAGTAATTAGAGAATATATCAAGAATTGCAAACAGAGTAATATCAATAGTAATAGTTATAATAATGATAGTAATAATAACAATAATAATAATGCTGAAGTGAGTTAAAATAATGATACTGATAAAAGATCGTTTTAAGTGAATCAATAGGCAGAATAATAGTAAAACGTATTACCACGGTAGATTCAGAGTGACGACCAACTCCTTTTGTACACAGAGACCTGGTTTATAAACTCGAATTTCACAAGCTTCTGCAATTGCAAGCATCTTCCTGTTTCTTTGTCTACTAGTTGGCATTAGTGAATGACTTGACGGCGTCGATATCATATCCATAATCCACAAGATGTTTTGTTATTGAAGTTTTTGGCACTTTGCATTCAGCTGTTTTCAGCCATTTTGGCAAATGCGACATCATGCGAGTAAACAATCACCTTTCTTCACGACCTATGTATTTGCTTCCACAAACACACTAATCAAATTGATATACGCAGTTCGTAGTGTTGAGGATTGGCTACTGGTCTTTCCCAGATTATTGGAGTGCTCGCTTGGTGGTTGCACGTATTTTCATTCAGTTGATTCGATAAAGAAAGCTTCTGTTATCAATCTCGCCCTCCACACTGTCATATTAGATTTTAAAACGGTCATATTATCCCATCCTGTTGTATGGTGTGTGTGTGTGTGTGTAATTGCATGTAGTGCTATAGCTGAACTATTCTCCAGATTTATTGCCTTATTAGGGTCAACCAATCTAGATTTTACTGGGTTTTGCCAGAAGAATAATTCAGCTATAGCACTACATGCAATTACACACACACACATACACCATACAATAGGATGAGATAAGATGACAGTTTCAAGATCTAACATGACAGTGTGGAGGCAGAGATTGATAACAACGGAAGCTTCATTCATCATCGAATCAACCGAATGAAAATACGTGCAATAGTAGTGATTGAAAACCTGTGCAATCGGACACCTGGAAAATTCTACTTCCACGCCTACGAGAAATAGGATAGAATAAAGAAAACTATGAGACGAAAGTTTCGAATTTGTGTGGTTATAATTGATGATATGATTATGAAGAACAATAATTTGTGTTGGAAACCTTGTCATCCAGTAAATAATAATACTGTTTCACTGTGTGTGATATATCTAATAAATAAATTAATGTGGAGTTAAATACTACCACATATATTAACTTCACTTGTAGTTTCTCCTATATATATATATATATATATATATATATATATATATATATGGAGAGAGAGAGAGAGTCGTGAAGAGCAGGCTGGGTTTCGTTCAGGTTGTGAATGCATTGATCATGTGTTCACCCTTCGTTTGGTGATGGGAACACCACCACACGTATTGTAGGCCAACAATCTTTGTGTTTCTTGATATTATGGCCGCCTTCGATTCGCTGAACAGAATTGTGCTCTGGAACTGTCTGTTAGAGAGAGGTGTACCTGATAAGTTTGTTAACATCCTGAAAGCACTATACAGAAACACTTCAGGTAGAGTGAGAGCATGCAACCGGCTATCATCACTGTTCCCAACCAACAGTGGAGTTAGACAAGGTTGCCCAATCTCTCCATTTCTCTTCAACTTTGCCATCGACGACATTCTGGAGTCGACTGTAAAGGAAGTGAGTAGCGGTGGTGGTGTAGATCTGCCTCCTGGAGAAAGACTTTTTGACCTCGAGTATGCAGACGATATCGTCTTACTGTGCGATAGCATACGAACTGCCCAGATCACACTTAATCAGTTGGTGATCAGTGTTTGTAAGTATGTTATGTGCTTTGCACCATCTAAGTTCAAGGTACTGTTACACCTGCACTCACTCTTGCAGGTGAACCGCTTGGAGCTGTTGCTAAGTTTGTGTATCTGGGTTGTTGTTTGAGTTCTGGTGGAGGGGTGATGGATGAGATTTTCGACCGGATCATGAAAGCTAGGATGACACTCGTTAACTTGAGCCACCTCTGGTGCCGTCGCGACGTTAGCCTGACTGTCAAAGGTCGGGTGAACAATGCTTCGCTGTGGACTGTCTTGCTCTACGCCTGTGAAACCTGGCCTCTCCGAGCTGAGGATGTGCGGTGGCTCTGTGTATTCGATCATCACTATCTCTGGAGTGTGTTTGGACATATTGGGGATCACCATTCACTGATTGTCTTTATATGGGAACACCGGTTTTAGCGGCTTGGACATGTGCTACGAATGTCATCCCAGAGGCTTTCGCACCGATCTATATTCGCTAGCCCTGGGGCAGGATGGAAAAAGCGGAAAGGTGGTCAGCCCATGACGTGGCGTCGTGGGTTTAAGGATATTTTTATTAGGTTAGCATCATTTGGTACGTCACGACTCCCTGATTGGTGTCCGAGAAATAGCTCAAATCAGTGGCTCAAAATGTTATCGGAAATAACCAAGAATCGCAATCAATAGTGCATATGCTGCAATTTCCTTCTTTCTTCCTTTTCTGACAATAATTCGACGAATGCTGTTTGGTTTTGTCACACATAACGGTTTTCTTCCCAGAAGAAGTCCTTCATGCATTCTTCACCTTATTTTTTCTCAAATGTTTTTATTATTATTGTTATCATTATTGTGTGGTGCATCTTCCTGGTGCCGTGTTGTACCAGGTTTTGTGTTTTAAATAAAATAAAATAACGGTTTCTAAGCAAATATTTAATCATTATGAGAAAATATTTTCAGACCTACCTTGTATTTCACGAGTTGATCACGGATTGATATCAGTTAGAGAACCATTGAAAACCCACGAAGGAGTACTGGACAGATATTTCGTCCTAGTTTGGGAATCATCGGCAGTACGCACCAAACACCAGGCTTCGAACCCAGGACCTTCCGGTTACAAGGCAAGCTCGTATACCATTCAGCCACTGGAACCCGATTCAGTGGCCAGCTCATGAATTCCTACTTCTACCAATTCGTGATTTAGCGGGACCCCAACCATTGTCGTAGTTGGGACATCCATCCTCACACGTGACATCTGGATGGACCTCACTGGTCACATTTTCTCACTAGAACTCCAGGAAGCTCCATCCTGTAGCAAGTCAGTCACTAGCGAGCATCAGATTAATTTTCTATAGTTTGGTTTTCAATGGTTCTCTAACTGATATCAATCCGTGATCAACTCGTAAAAACAAAACTAACCCTTACAAACCAAACTATAGAATACTACCTTGTATTTGTTGGTTTCATATTCAAGGAAGAGGGCTTATATGCAGCCTCACTCTTGCAGAGATTATAAATATAAACGTTAACTCCTCTAACTGAGTCTCACTGGGCCCATTGCTGATGAGCTCAGCTCCAAACAAATAGGATGACCATCCTTTGTTTAATTCACTTCGGTCTATCTGGCCAGCTCTCCTGGGTTATCCACTACACACAGAAATTAGTAGTATGTAACAAACGCATTGAGTTTCAGCTGGTATTATGTAACATGAGTCTGTTATTAATGTATTGTGAATGGTCAAGTTTCTTTTTCCCTTTTTCATTTTAGTGTAACCTACCTCGTCAGATGAGAAAATTCAACATTCATGGATTATGGTATGTTACAATTTTGTTTTTATCAGGATCATTTTCTCCTTAAATAGAATAAAACAAGAAATTCTATTGTATACTAGAATTCACTGTATTAAATTTTTGAAGGAAAGTAACAAGAAGCGTTCTACAGCATAGGCAGGTGTTATGTCTACGAATGCCAAAATCATCACCAAGCTACATAGAAATCAACTAACTGTCTTTAAGATTGAGTGCTATGCAAACATTGATTTCCAGAATGTAGCTAAAGAAACTGATAAATCCGTAATGCTGGTTGAAGTCTAACTTTTGCCTTTTGTCATATAATTATTAAGCTAATGGTTATGACACACGCCTAGCTCAGCACTGCAAATATCTTCCATAGTTTTTGAGTGGTTTTCTAAGGACTTGTTGTGGAGATGTGGCTTATTGGCTTAAGTACCCCACTTTCAACCAGTGGATCTCGGGGTCGAATTCTACCCCAAATATACGCCAAACCTAGGCCACTACGAACTGTCATCAGCCTTCACAGGTTAAGTATGGCTCATAGCTTGGAATATGGAAGATTTATCCCTACCAATTAAGTACAGACAGATAAGGTTTTCTATCACTTCCAGCGAAATTGAAAAGGCCTTCGACATCGTTAACCGCTAAGTAATTTGGAAACTACTTCAATACTATGGCGTGCTTCGAATCTTTATCAACCTCATTCAACAGCTGGATATATGACAATACCATGTATCAGTCACTCAGAGAAGCCTTTGAAGTCAGGAAAGGAGTAAGACAAGACTGCCTATTATCATGGATTATACTCCCAATTGTGGTGCACTGGATTAGACGAAAGACTATGGGGAGGGGGCGAGAAGACAGGAATACACTGGACCACAGATAATAAGACCCTAGAAGATCTGGATTTTGCACGTGGATGATTTATGTCAGATATCACACAGAATCGGAGAATTACAGGGGAAAATCAAGAAGCTGGCAGGAGAAGTGGTGAAGACAGGAATCAAGTGAACACAGAGAAGACGGAGGTGATGAAAATAACCAACCAACAACCACAATGACTATGAGGGAGGTGAAATATGAAAGAGGTTACTTCCTTCACTTATCCAGGAAGCATCGTTTCATTCATAGGCGGAATGGATGAAGATGCCAGAGGCTTGGAGAATGGGAAAGACGAGGTACACCTTCATCACCGTGAAATCAGTTTGGAAATCTTCTTCACTCAGACAACATAATGACAACGATTAAGATTTTCAATAGCAGTGTTAAGTCAATCAGCTGTTCTATTGGGATCAAAGACTTGGGGCGTGTGTCACGCAGGGGATTTCCAACAGGTTACGACAGACTTGTGTGAACAGCTGCCGCCTTTTCTGACTCCATGTTGTAGGTCGAATGGTCAGGCGAGAAAGAAATGGCCACAAGGAACTATGGGAGCGAACCGATCAAGAACTTGTTGCTGAATAAATATGTAGAAGAGAATGGAGATGGATTGAGCACACGCTGGGGAGACTGTCGAATGACATTGCACTGCACGCCAGGTATAGCCTCGATTGGAAGTTGAATGGGAAACTATTAGTGAGGTGTGTGTCCGAGGTTGACATGGAGATCATGCGAGGTGGAGATGAGAGGCTATGGGCGATCATGGACCCAGCTAATGAGGACAGCAGAACAAGGGACAAAGTGGAGATGTGTTGTGGAAGCTCACTGTTCTACTCGGATTTTTACACTCATACATCCCGTGAGGAATGTTAAGCAAATGTATGAGTAAATAAGATAATAATAGTGGTATGAGATGCATTTTAAATATTTGTGATTATAATTAGTGGTATTAATTGGCAAAACAATTAATGTCATATACAGAACAATTCATGGGACGTATAGATAGATATATTGGGTTAGTAGGTAAATATAAAACGTTATGTAATATGATGTGAAATTCAGCATTGCGAAAAATTCTCAATTTAGGACGACGAGTGGGACAATTGAAGACAGTTCAAAGTGAAACCAAGATAGAAGTAGGGATTGCATATAATTCTTTTGTACACAAAGGTTTGGCTTAAATTCATGAATGGCCAAGGCCTCTGCTGTCTTTGAAAGTTTTGAATGAAAGAAAGGTGTCAAATTAGCAGTAGTTAAATAGATGATGCTAAAATCATCGTCAGTGACAGAAGTCGACCAAGTGTTCTAGAATAGAAATTCGAAAACCATGCTAGAATATGTTTTCGTATCCGTGTGGAAAGCATCCTCTGGCTACGGATAATGTACCCTGCTCCGCAAGAGCAGCTGAGCTATGATAGATGCGCATGGAGGCGGTCAGACGAGGGAGGAGGAAGGAGAACAACTTATGGCCGGTGAAGGTCATTTTCAGTTCCATAGGATGTATAAATTTTGGATGCGGCTGTGTGTGTGTGTGTGTGTAAAACTGTTTGATTCAGTTTTGTATTCAAATTGAACAGTTACATATTACTTTAACATTCGGTAGTATTTTAAAAAGAGTATTTTCCGAAATTGATAAACCAATGCCTAAACTATTAATGTTCAAACCAAGTTCACTTTTAATAGTTTGAAAAGAAATTGGCCTTTGGGTATATGATATTCATTGTAATAAAGGTTTTCTTGTATTTCCCAACGAATGAAAAACAAGGTTGCAGATACGCCTTGCTGACGAGTGCCAACTAGCACGAAACCTAGGTCCAAGGCTTCCTGCTGATTGCCTCCAACCATCTAATATCATCACAAACAATGTACACCGTGATGGCGAGCTACCTAGAATGGTGGCCACATTACAACCTGACTGATAGATTTCAGTCTGCACCAAAGAGAGGACTAGACGCATCACACTAGTTACTAGTGTCAAAACAAAACGATATTGCCTAAACTGATTTGATTTGCAATACTGAACTACTTCACTATAAATAAAGTATTTTAATGCTTTCAAATTGTTTGAAGTACGCGTGAAATTTAATTAGGGTATTCTTTAGTAAACACAATATACTCGATGCAGTTCCCACGGATGACATCGATTGGTGGTCGTGCTAAAATTCACGAATTGGTAAAAGTTAGAATTCATGTGCTGGCCATTGAGTCGGCTCCCAATGGCTGAATGGTCTAGCCTTGTAACCGGAAAGTCCTGGGTTCGAACCTCCCGGGTGTCGGATGCGTACTACCGATGAGTCCTAAACATGGACGAAATATCTGTCCAGTACTCCTTGGTGGGTTTTCAATGGCTCTCTAAACTGATATCAATCCGTGGGCAAACTCGAAAAACTAAATCAAATCCTTACAAATCAACTCTTGAAAATACTCGTTATTTTATTGCATGCATAAGGTATATCAGAGTTGATCTTCGATTTTGTGATTACTAATTGTCAATAAGGTAGTCAATTATCCTGAAAACAAACACATTTTGATTGAGAATATCAATTTTTAAGTGAACTCCTGTTATTCAAGTGTTGGTTTGTTGGGATTTGATTGGTTGCAGGATTTTAATCATGAGCTGACATTAGTTAGAGAACCATTGGAAAACCTGGATTTCCAGGATTTCCATCATCATCCTGTAACCAATCAAATCCCTACAAACCAACACTTGAATATCAATGAGATGCTCACTAGCGACTTGCCTTATTCACGTAGGTAGTTACCTGGGGTTCTAGTGAGAAGTCGTGACCAGTAGGAGGGTGCAGCTGGTCGGGCGTGAGGACAAATACTCGCCGAAGACATTGGCTAGAGGTCGCGCTATGTCGTAAATTGGCAGAAGTTAGAATTCATGGGCCATTGGATCGGGTCCCAGTGGCTTAATAGTATACGAGCTCGCCTTGTAACCAGAGGGTCCTGGGTTCGAATCCCGGTGGGTGCGTACTGATGAAGAGTCCCAAACTAGGATAAAACAGCTGTCCCGTACTCCCAAGAATTCCTGTTAGTCAATTAGTAATCGATGATTGTTTTTATAAGATAACAGTTTTAGGACATTTTACTAATGATTTTTGAAGATACTTTGCAATGAAAAAAAAAGGAAAAGACAACAACAGCTGTATGTGTTTAATAAAAGTGACAGATCATATACTAATCAACTGTAAAGTTCCTTCAAGGTGGTTAAATGTATTCTTTTTCTGCGACTCTCTGAAAGGTTTTGGCGTAGACGTGTACCCGGCTATTGACCAAAGGACATGTGTGTGTGTGTGAATTGCTCAGCAGTGTTCTACGTCCTCCTCTATGGCTGTCAATGAGACATGGTCATTGAAAGTGGGACACATGAAAAGGCTGGCTGGCTAGGTGTCTTTGATCATAGGTGCCAGCTTTCTATCTCCTGTGTTAAGTGGTATAATAAAGTGAGTAATATTGAGATTGGGTTTCAGTCGAGTGCTCTGTAAGGAGGGGAAATCAACAGACTTGGCTGTGAAGTTACATCGACTGAGATGGTTAGAACATTTGTTACGCATGCCTAGTCATCGCCTTCCTCGACAGCGGACAATGTTAGCTGACATAGGGTCAGGTTAGAAAAGATCGAGCTGGTGTTGGTCAGGCTAAAACATGACTTCATCAGTCAATGAAATCCACAACAATTAGTTTAAACCAGTCATGTAGGGAGATGTGAACTTCCTGTCTGGTTGGGTTCCTTGGGATGGTAAAAACCAATGAAGGCTGGAAACAATTGGTGATATGGTTGGAAATCTTTCTCAATGGCTAGCGCAGATGCATCCAATCCTTGTGACTTATAATACCCAATAAAACCATATTGTTCTTCGATATTATTATTCTTTTTGCTTCATATCTCTGTTTTGAATCTCTTTTTACTTTCTATGCTAAGTGAAGTGTAGCAACTGGAACCGCTGCACATCTGTGCAAAGTTCTACATTGAAACCAGTCAGGCAGTTAGTCAGTTTAGCAAACGAGTATAAATCGACCTCTCGTTTGTTGGATATTCATGATTTTTAAAAATTCTAATCAAGTTTAATAGTTGGAGGAGGTTTTTTTTCAGGGTTATGAGGTAGTTTTAATAGATGAATCTCAACATTTCTTTTTTCATTTCTTTATGTATTTCATTATTGTGTTTTTTTATCAATAAAAAATAGGCCCACCATTTGGCCGAATGGTAGTCCAACAAACTGTTCCAGAAATGAAGATTTTAATGTGAAAAGTATTGAGGTAACCAGCTAGTAGGTAGCTGTTATTTCCCTTTGTTTTGTTGAAGAACTGTTTTCGAATTAATTAATTTCTTTTTTCGAGTATTCAGCGGTTTTTAACTTTATGCAATACAGTTTTATACACGGTTTTGCTTTATAAGGGATGAAGTTGCATTCTATGGTGCATTATTGTAGCACTATTATTATTATTATTATATATTTCCTTAGGTTCCGAGTGAAACATAGGGCTTCAAGAGCATATCCTTAGCAGGCTCGACGATTGTCTATAGGCTCTGCTCTCCTTGCACGATCTCCTCTCCATGTCACCGTCAGATGTGTCCAACTCGTTATTTACTGTTTGCGTTCCACTTGAACGATGGCCTGGAACGCGATATCACTAAACTATCTCTTCAACATGTGTCCGATTCATCCATCTGCATTTTCTCATTAATATTTGTTAGGAAATGGGTGGTTCTTGGTTTGTTTGTTTGTTTCCAGAATTTCTTCTGGATAATCCTTTCTAGCAGGCCATCTGATCTTCAGTATGGAGCCAAGGAATGGCGCGGGTGTTAATGAAAGTCGAAAGCCTGTTGGGAATACCTTTTGTGACGCGCCGTCTCTAAACCATATAGAAGACTTGATTTGGCATTACTGTTGGAAATCCTAATCTTGTTCTCTTTACCTAGTGCAGTACGTTTCCAGGCCGACTTCAAAGTGACGAAGGTCTGTGTTACCCATCCGATCCTGCCTTTGACATCTTCATCCGTGCCGCATGTATTTAAAACGATGCTAAATAGTTAAGTGAAAGAAGTGACTTGCTGGTACCAGTTGCGCTAAAATCACGAATTAGTAGAAGTTCGAATTTATGGGCTGGCCACTGAATCGAATCCCATTGTAATGACAGAAGACAAGGGCCAGGCAACAGATCGTTTATTGAGGAAATCAACAGATATTGATAGATTTTTATGTACATTATTATTCGTTGTTGTTAGCAGAGAGGCACACAAGCAACGCCTTCTGCTTGGTTGTTTTCCTGCTGAAGGTTATTCTGTCACCTCTTTGTTGCTGTTTCTTAGACAGTCCGTTGATATATCTGCGAATCGTATCCGCCCACGCTAAGTCTGCTGTGATTGGTTGTTGAGTTCCTCAAGGTTAGGCTTTGTTCTTGTTTTTTTCTCATGGCCAATATTGGGGACGTAAACATTGACGTAAATTGCTGTCTACTAATTTTGGCTAGCAGACAGCTCTCACCACACCAGTAGTAGTGGCTGAATGGTCTACGAGTTTGTCTCGTAACCGGAAGGTCCTGAGTTCGAATTCTGGTAGTGGATGAGTGCTGCCGATGGGTCTCAAACTAGGCTGACGAAACAGCTTTCCAGTACACTCCCTGGGGGTTTCCAGTGGTACACCAATTCATATCAATCCGTTATCAAACTTGAAACAAGTCAAATCCCTACAAACTTAGTCTTGAAAATTTATTTTATTTCTGTTATCACAATGACATCAAATCAAATCTTGGCATATTTGAATCGGTTTTCATTTTCTTCTTTTCTTTATGTAAAGCCTATTTATAAAGAGTTACAAACGGAATGGTCAAATTTAGAGGATTATGATGATCCTGAAGACTTTTGGTACGTTTATAATTTTAAACAAACAATATGGTATTAATTATAAATTATTATTTAAAATAATCCCCGCGTTGTGTTTAAGAAAAAAAGCCAAAACAAAATCTGGGAACATCATCACTCACTGGGGAATGCAGGTACATTCAGGTGACGAGTCCCAAACAGGACAAAATGCTCATCGTGGATTCCACTGCTAGTCACCATACACCGATTAAATTCTGATTGAATGCCCAGACATCGTCGAAGCATCTGCACAAGAAGCCGACATGTCAACCTGAGACCGAGCACTTCGCTCCAATCAATCGACGGGAAAATCTAAAATTCAATTAAATGAAACATACATTGTTTGAAATCGACCACTGGAAATGAATAAACTTTGCTACTCCTCCTCTGCTTTTCTTTTTGGAACATATCTGGTCTTATCTGAATAGTGTGAAACCATTTAGTGAGACCAGATTATCATTATCGAGCCAAGTTTCTTGCAGTGTGATTATAGTCATGTTGTAATAAGTATCAGATGATAGGATAGCCTACAGATGCATAATCTTGTTGGGAAGAGAACGGCAGTTGTACTAACGATAACAGGAACAGTGGTTCGGTGTAAATGTATCCGTTTTACAGTGCACCGCTATCCACCATGATGTTTTTTCTTAGCTTTCTTAGAACCTTGAAAGTCACTTGGTTTTAAACATTTTATGAACTGTTGAGAATATGTGATACGATTTTACATCATATTTTGATAAATGAAAATGAAGTAAAATAAATTAGACGCAATACGTAGATATAAGAATAGGCAGCCCAACTTTCAAACAGGCCGCCAAAGTTGACCCTAATAAAGTGATAAATCAGCCAGGCTAACGTCGCGACGGCACCAGAGGTGGCTCAAGTCAACGAGTGCCATCCTAGCTTCCATGATACGGTCGGAAATCTCATCCATCACCCCTCCACCAGAACTCAAACAACAACCCAGATACACAAACTTATCAACAGCTCCAAGCGGTTCACCTGCAAGAGTGAGTGCAGGTGTAACAGTACCTTGAACTTAGATGGTGCAAAGCACCTAACATACTTACAAACACTGATCACCAACTGATTAAGTGTGATCTGGGCAGTTCGTATGCTATCGCACAGTAAGACGATATCGTCTGCATACTCGAGGTCAAAAAGTCTTTCTCCAGGAGGCAGATCTACACCACCACCGCTACTCACTTCCTTTACAGTCGACTCCAGAATGTCGTCGATGGCAAAGTTGAAGAGAAATGGAGAGATTGGGCAACCTTGTCTAACTCCACTGTTGGTTGGGAACAGTGATGATAGCCGGTTGCATGCTCTCACTCTACCTGAAGTGTTTCTGTATAGTGCTTTCAGGATGTTAACAAACTTATCAGGTACACCTCTCTCTAACAGACAGTTCCAGAGCACAATTCTGTTCAGCGAATCGAAGGCGGCCATAATATCAAGAAACACAAAGATTGTTGGCCTACAATACGTGTGGTGGTGTTCCCATCACCAAACGAAGGGTGAACACATGATCAATGCATTCACAACCTGAACGAAACCCAGCCTGCTCTTCACGACTCTCTCTCTCTCTCCATATATATATATATATATATATATATATATATAGGAGAAACTACAAGTGAAGTTAATATATGTGGTAGTATTTAACTCCACATTAATTTATTTATTAGATATATCACACACAGTGAAACAGTATTATTATTTACTGGATGACAAGGTTTCCAACACAAATTATTGTTCTTCATAATCATATCATCAATTATAACCACACAAATTCGAAACTTTCGTCTCATAGTTTTCTTTATTCTATCCTATTTCTCGTAGGCGTGGAAGTAGAATTTTCCAGGTGTCCGATTGCACAGGTTTTCAATCACTACTATTGCACGTATTTTCATTCGGTTGATTCGATGATGAATGAAGCTTCCGTTGTTATCAATCTCTGCCTCCACACTGTCATGTTAGATCTTGAAACTGTCATCTTATCTCATCCTATTGTATGGTGTATGTGTGTGTGTGTAATTGCATGTAGTGCTATAGCTGAATTATTCTTCTGGTAAAACCCAGTAAAATCTAGATTGGTTGACCCTAATAAGGCAATAAATCTGGAGAATAGTTCAGCTATAGCACTACATGCAATTACACACACACACACCATACTATAGGATAGGATAATATGACAGTTTTAAAACCTAATATGACAGCGTGGAGGGCGAGATCGATAACAGAAGCTTACTTTATCGAATCAACTGAATGAAAATACGTGCAACAGGAATGATTCAACACCTTCCCAACCGGACATTCGGAAAATCCTGCTACCTGTATGACAAATAGGAAAGAATAAAGAAAACTATACGACGAAAGTTTCGAAGTTGTGTAGTTATAATTGATGATATGATTATGAAGAACAATAATTTGTGTTGGAAACCTTGTCATCCAGTAAATAATAATACTGTTTCACTGTGTGTGATATATCTAATTAACAAATTAACATGGAATTTCATACACTACCACAGTGCTAGAGTTTTACACATATAAGTAGCCTGGTATGAGTAACTGACCCGACCGAAAGCTGCTACCTTGACGTGGTGATCGGGCTTGAACACCACAATGACCCAACAAGCTATACTGGCTGAGGCTTATGTCGCTTGAGGTCCTACCATGCCAGAAAGTTTGTTTTTTATAACGGTTAGACAAAAAGCAGTTAATTAATCCAGTTCTATGACTCAAACAAAATCACAAAATATCATGCCGGATCTATCGGGGCCTGGATTAACAACGACCGCGCTTCCTGGTGCCGTGTCACAGGGCAGAAGTGATAAATATGCTACTGAGACACCACACCAAATAAAAAAGAACAAACAAAAATAGGTCGCGTGTGACCGGCAGCCGGGAAGTAACAATCGCCCTCACAATCCGAAATGCAAAAAGACATGAGTAACTGAAATGCTCTAACACGGTAGTGAACAGAAAATTACTATTCACTAATTTCATTCACTAGACGTTTTTTCATTCAGATAAGAGTAAGTGCAGAATCAAGCACTAAGTGCTCGTCATCTTATCTCTAAGTACTTAAGATGCCCTCATGAAGTTTGCCAAACCCTAACTTTAGATCAGGAGTGCTCATGGTCTGTTGGGATCTTTAAAAGACAGATGACCTAATTTCATGCCGATGTATACTATACATAATAACTCAACTTCAAATCACATATCACTGTCTTTCAAGCGAGACTTCGGTAATGGTCATTTCGGGCAAGTTCCTCCATGAGCTTAACAGTTGAAACAGTATCCGAATTTTGATTTACATCGTTTCGAAGTTGTTATTAATGTATGTATATTTATAATTTTTACAATTGCATAAGGAAAGAACAGAAATTAGTGAGTTGTAGTCATCATGTGTAACACAATGAGCATTGAACAGCTATCCTCATTTTTCTATGACGGGAGAAATCAAAAGGATTTAAGTCAAAAATAAAAATAAATTTATAATGGAACATATGACTTCATCAGCTGGCTGCATGACAATGTCAGGTGTTGTCAGTCAGGTGATCCACAACGGAAAACTCAGTGAAGCCTTTGAAGTCAGGAAAGGAGTAAGACAAGGCTGTCTAATATCACCAATTATGCTCCCACTTGTGGTGCACTGGATTTGACGAGACTATGGAGGGGGGTGCGAGAAGACAGGAATACACTGGACCACAGATAATAAGACCCTAGAAGATCTGAATTTTGCGCGTGGATGATTTATGTCAGATATCACAGGGAATCGGAGAATTACAGGCTGGCAGAAGAAGTGGTGAAGACAGGAATCAAGTGAACACAGAGAAGACGGAGTCGATGAAAATAACCAACCAACAACCACAATGACTATGAGGAGGGGTGAAATATGAAAAAGGTTACTTCCTTCACTTATCCAGGAAGCATCGTTTCAATCATAGGCGGAATGGATGAAGATGCCAGAGGCTTGGAGAATGGGAAAGAGGAGGTACACCTTCATCACCGTGAAATCAGTTTGGGAATCTTCTTCACTCAGACAACATATTGAACATGATTCGGATTTTCAATAGCAATGTTGAGTCAGTCAGCTCTTCTATTGGGGTCAACAGGCTACGGTAGACTTGTGAGAACAGCTGCCGCCTTTGTGACTCCATGTTGTAGTTCGAATGGGCAGGCTAGAAAGAATTGGGCGCGAATCAAACAAGAACCTATTGTTCAATAAATATGTAGAAGACAATGGAGATGGATTGGGCACACGCTGGGAAAACTGTCGAATGACATCGCACTGCACGCCAGGTATAGCCTCGATTGGAAGTCGAATGGGCAACTATTAGTGAGGTGTGTGTCCGAGGTTTACATGGAGATCGTGCGAGGTGGAGATGAGAGGCTATGGGCGATCATGGCCCCAGCTAATGAGGACAGCAGAACAAGGGACAAAGTTGAGATATGCTATTGAAGCGCTATGTTCTACTCAGAACTCAAGGGAATAATAATGTGGCCTCTGGAAATGAGATGAGATGCTTTGTGTGGGGAGAGAAGAAGGCAGAATGTGGTCGAAAGTTCTTAATTGATTCACTTGTGAGAAATTGGTTCATTTTACCATATTTTTTGTCATTCATCTCTACTAATTGATAAACTATACACGATTAGTGGTAGCGATTTTCAGATAGATATAGCAGTCTCTAGTGGGATTTCTCACAGTGCCTATGACTGAACACACTACTAATGAGTCTGGAAATTAGGAAATACAAATGCCTTGTGTTTATATTTTCCTATAATTTCAGGTATGTTTAATCCATCTTTTATGTGTACATTTGAAGTCGATGTAGGCTCTCTTATCTTGGCATCGTTTGTTTGTCTTTGAGAGTGGGAGAGGTGGGGAGGGGGTTGGATATTCGTTTTACCTGTCTTTTTAGAAGTGTTTCTCTCCGGATGTGAATGTGTAAAGAACACATTCGTGTTTCTTTTCTCCAGGTCGCTTTTGTTATTCACACTAACTTTTTGACATTGAAATTGTATTTCAAGTTTCAGTAGTACTTAGTCTAGTATGTTTTCGGGGAAACGGACACTGTTATATTTGTCTTCTCATATAAATCTTGAGGGATTTGATGAATTAATTGTGTGATTTTTATTTTTATTGTTTGGTTACTAGCAGGTTAGCCCTAATCAGTGGTAGCCTTTTTCAACTGTGATTAACACTTTATTTATTAATTTATTGTATTCTGTAGGAAATATGAATGGAATAAACATGGAGTGTGCTCAGTGAATAGTGCGGTTATCTCGAATGAATTAGACTATTTCAACACTTCTCTGGTTATTAAAGCAAAAGTGAATATAATGAGGTAACGAACTCTTATTGTACCATATATATATGCATATTTTTTGATTGGACACTCACAACTAGTGTGATGTGTCAAGTTCTTTGTTTCGGTGCAAACTGAATTCTATCAGCAGTTAGCTTTGAAATGTGGCCACCATTCTAGGTGGTAGCTCGCCATCACGGTGCACATCACACTAGCTAGTTACTAGTGTCCAATCAAAGTATCCAGTACTGTCCTATAAGAGGTCAATCGCGAGCTTGAATAGCTCAGTGGTGACGTCTCTGAATGCAGGCGGCACTGGGTGACGCAGATTCGAATCTCAGAAGGAGAGATAACAGAAAAGCGCCTTGCTGACTTGACTGGTGAGTGCCAACTGGCACAAAAGCTTGGTCTAGGTAGGGCTTCCTGTGACCGATTGCCTCCAACCATCTAATATGCATAATTTTTATTTAATGTCTTGGTTGTTCTCATTCCTTGTCACTGTCTTGATAGATTTTGTCATAAATTGAAATTGAAAACAATTATTCCCTTTTATAATTTTGGATAGTGTTGTTAGAACATGGAGATTCGCTGAGATGTTGCTTGTTTGTAAACTTAAGCCCCTCCCCGCCGCACCCTACTCTTTTTGTGTACAAAAGCAATTTATTGTTACTCTTAACCTACCTTGGTAATCCTTATTATCTGATTAGATAACCAAACGTAGTATTAATTATTCTTATTATTCTTAAATCCTTTTTGTTACTTTGTGTATTCTAATTGGCCTTTCTTATTTTTCATATAAATTGACTTGACAAGTAAGTGTGTCGGGGATCAGATTGTTGTTCGAAATGTATTGCGCAGCTAACATCACACATTTTTCAGATAATCTCCGTCTTCTAATAACACTGTAGATTGAAATCATTATATGAAGAATCACCTTTTCAAGAGCATAGAGCACTGAGCAGCTTTTTCGTCCTGATTTTGGATTCTCGTTGGATTTCTGAACATCATCCTGTGTGGTTAATCAAGTAAAGGACAAACAAATTTCATTCATAGCGCTATTCTATCTCATCTCGTCGATACAGAATACAAGATTGATGTTAACGACGCGGCTTTCAAAGCCATCTACCACATACACACAAATCTTAACTTCATATTGATGAGGCTGGCTGTTGGGATCTACATTAAGAAACCGAACTGATGTATCCAAAAGGAGAAGTTGGTTGAGACGCTGTCCTTACCTTAGCCATCTAGGTTCGAGTGGTCTTCAATTTGTTGTGGAAATCTCCTTAATTTTATTTTGATATTCTATTTACTATTAGATTTTTATGTTTACTTAAGCGTCTTTCGTGAACTGTAATTTAATTGATCTTAACAAATCGATAGTCTTTAAAGACACCAATACTGCTGATGACGACTAATCTGGAATATTCTGTGTATTTAAATATGTGTATATAATTGTAGAGCCAGAAGAGGAAATTATCGAAAAGGATATTCTTTGCCCAATTTCTTTTCTAAACGTCTGAATGAATATTTTCAGTATATTATTATTATTATTGATACCTAGTCTCTAACATTGCGTCGGTGGCATAGCGGTTAGGACGCTAGCCGACCATGCACATGTTCCGGGGTTCGATCACCGGCCGACGCTTTCTTTTACCTCGCCTAGCCAGAAATAAAGCTGGTAAAGAGGAAAGGTTGGGAATGAGGCTAGCAACCCCATCCTGTAAAATAAGCACTGCTACAGAAACTTCAAGCCTTTAGCTTGAAGCCCTATGTTCCACTGGGAACGTGAAGGAATAAAAAAATGTTACTACTCATCTGCTGTGTATGAGTCCAACAGCTCGTGATATTCAACTTCTGTCAACTTACGTGATATTTAATTATCTCATAAGTTTCTGACTCTTGATCCACGGGATCCTGGCGTTGTGCAAAAGACACCTATCCAGTGCTCCTTGTTGTGGTTCAACGATCCTCGAATTAGGTATTGATTCATAATAAAATTGTAATACAACAGAATGATTTTTGATTATGTTAGGTTTTCTAATTACACAGTGAAACGGTAGAAGACGAAAGACTTAGTAAAGGAGTGTTTATTTAGAAATCGATATCTCTGTATAGCCAAATTATGTATGCCCCCCTTATCTTCAACGCACCATTTGCACAGATCTTCTTTGGTTGTGGTACTTCTAGACTTCACATTATGTTTCTTTGTGTTCCTTTCACGTCTCCCATATATCCCCACAACTCTGTATCATTTGCCTTCTCTGAAATCAAATGTATCTCCCTGCTATTTGATGTTTTTATATGCCGACGAACGTCTCTTTATCATACTACTGATAAATCTTATCAGTAGCACTCACCACAATAGTATATTTTGAAACATCTTTAGCGGTAACACATGTAATCGTTTAAATTAAACTACACAACACTACCAAAATATGCATAATTTATTTTGCTATTTTTTAGACGTCTTGAGTCGATTGGAATCAAACCAGACAACAAAGTTAACTTAAAGGTCAGTTATTGTGTACATACAATGTACATAAGCGTACATATATTTAAATTGATTAAAAAAAACTCGATAAACCTTTGACTATTTACCACAGAACAACGTATAGAATGGCTAATATTATTAAATTATTATTATCATTACTGTTTCCTTTAATTCCTAGAGGAACATAGGGCTTCAGCCGCACGTCTCCATTGCGTTCGGTTCTCCGCCAACGTTTTCAATTGGCTCCACGTCTGTCCATATGCTTTCATCTCCTCTTCATATGACCTCCTCCAAGTCACCCTTGGATGACCAACTCGCCGCTTCCCTTTCGGGTTCCACTCGAGCGATGTCTTGTCTAGTGATGTCACTTGATGGTTTCCTCAGAGTGTTGCCAATTCACCACTATTTCTTCCTGCATATTTGTTGCACAATCGGTTCCTGCTGGGTGGGTTCGCTCCCAGAGATCCCTCCCTGTTGCTGATCTTTTCTGGCCATCTGATTTTGAGTATTGAGCCAAGACAGCTGCTGATGAAGGTGTGTAGTTTGTTTGAGGTGCTCTTTACGACGCGCCTAGTCTCTGATCCGCATAGTGAGTAGCACTGACTTCACATTGGAGTTGAAAATCCGGATCCAAATAGCTAATACCTAAACTTTAATATCGATTGTCATATAAACTACAGGAAAGGTTTCAGTAAGGACAAAATGCTTCGCTTCCAAGAAACTTTAGAAAACGAAATGATTCTCATCTACGAATGTTTATGGAAGAATAGATTTTCAAGTATTGGTTTTGTAGGGATTTTGTTTGATTGGATGGAGGATTTCATCATGAGCTGATATCAGTTAAACAACCACTGGAAAACCTGCAGGGAGTACTGGACAGCTGTTTCGTCCTGGTTCGGGACACACCCGCTCACTAGCGACTGGACCTATTCAGACAGTGACCTGGGGTTCTAGTGGGAAGCCGTAACCAGTAAGGTACAGCAGGTTGAAGATGAGGCAGTAACTCATCGAAGAAGAAGTGTTTCTCTCTGGATGTGTATGTGTAAAGAACATTCGTGTTTCTTTTTTCCAGGTCGCTTTTTTTATTCAAACTGACTTTTTGACGTTAAAATTATGTTTCAAGCTTCAGTAATACTTTATCTAGTATGTTTTCGGTGAAACGGACACCGTTATATTTGTCTTCTCATATAAATCTTGAGGGATTCGATAAATTCATGGTGTGATTATTATTATGTCGTGAATTGGCAGAAGTTAGAATTCATGGGCTGGCCATTGGATCGGCTCCCACTGGTTCAATGGTCTACGGGCTCGCCTTGTAACCAGAAGGTCCTGGTTTCGAACCCTGGTGGTGGGTGCGTACTGATGAAGAGTCCCAAACTAGGGCGAAATAGCTGTCCAGTACGCCCAGGGAAAATAGATGTTTGGAAATATCTGTGGAAAAAGAAATCTTGAGAAAGTTACCGCCGGAAAGTGGAGTAATATGCTATCTAAACGAAACTGGTTTTCCTTCGCATCAGGGTTTGAAGGTACTGAGGTTAGAGAGAATTGCCAAATGGATTAAAAAGTGGAATATCAGGGACGTATTCATCTGGCTAACCGGTATCAACAATCTGTTCAATTCCACAGTGTAGACTAGACTGATTTCCTACTCCCATTAACTCCGAATGTTTTTTTGAACTAACATTTCCACAGTGTGCGGAGGAAGAAAGGAGAGATGATTGTCTCCTAGAATATTTGAGTATGTGATGAAGAGTCTACGGTTTAGAGATTCTGTTTCCACTCACAGCCTCAGAGCTTGGTACTTTGAGTGATACAGGACACCAGATTGACATAACCGATGATACCGATGAACAGACAAAGCACTTCGTGAATACTTCGAATCGCTGAAGCTATCACCATCGAAAGAATGAAGTTTGAATTACGTATTCAAAAAAGAGACTTACTGTCTATCTTGGTTAGCACTAACCACTTCACTGCAACCCATGGAAATGCCACTTCTTTTTGGTGACGTAACGTGACGTATTTGTTATATCTAAAACCTCTTTCACTTTTGGTTGAATAATCCTTCATGGGATTGCGTAATTAATTATCTTCACTTTAAACTCCAGAATATTCCTCTTAGCACAATATATTTCGATTATAATTGATTATTCCAACTCCCTGTATAATCTACATATCGTCTTCATTTTCGACGGTCCCGTTCTACTCTCAATTAAAGCATATTAAAATCACGTCATATCGATTACTTATTTTATTGTTCAACATGTATGCTGCCTATACGAAAACTTCATGATATGAAATGAATTCATCTTAATACAGTTTTCAAAGAAGTCAAATTTCGCATTCACTTTAGCAAGTTTGACAGATTAACGCCGAAACCCATTGAGTTCCTCCACTGTCGAATGGTCCTTGCACTTTTTCAAATCGTGGAAAATACCCATCGGGACGTTAGAGAGAAAAGAACAAGAAGTTGAGCAAAGATGTTGATGTTTTCACCGATTTCATTCTCAAAAACAATTGTAAATTGCATTTATATACATAAGTTTGCATAGATACAATTGTTATGTAATCTTGTTTCCAAGGCCCTTGTAATCTATATTCACACCTTGAAATTTCCATGTCAAGTTGAAAATTATCATGACCTTTAATCCTCCTCGGTACTATGTGGAATTAAATAACAATTGTATCTATGCAAACTTATGTATATAAATGCGATTGTACAGTTGTTTTTGAGAATGAAAACGGTGAAAAGATCAATATCTTTGCTGAACTTCTTGTTCTTTTCTCTCTAATGTCCTGAAGAGTATTATCGATGATTTGAAAAAGTGTTAAAAATAGAACATATCTCTATCTCTCTAGCTCCTTTACATACAGAAACTCACTAGTAAGGAGAATAAAATTCACATTTGAATCGGAAAACGAACAAGGAGAATTAGCCATGATGTTAGATTGTAAAATAAAACGAATGGAAGAAGGTAAACTGCACACTAGCGTTTATAAAAAGCCACCGCGTTCTGCTAGTAGATATTTAGACTTTAATTCATCGCATCCGTTCGTTGTCTGCGAAGGTAGGCTTAGTTAAGCGTCTAACCGAGCAGTAGCACTAAGTAGTACAAAAAAGGACCTAAATGATGAAATAAAACAGATAGAAGAGGTGTTGGTGTTGAATAACTATCCTATAAAATTCATTAAGAAGATCAGTAAAGGCCAAAAGCAAAATAAAAATAATTGCGTAACTAGTAATAATAACATAAATAAGAGAGAATATAAGTCTTCTACTGTTATACCATATAAGGAGGGGACATCTGAGGCCCTACGTAGGATTCTCAATAAAGCAGGAATTAGGGTGGCATTCAAACCAACAAACTCACTCAGAGACAAACTTTGTAGGTTAAAGGACCCGTTGGACCCAATTAAACAAAATAATATAATTTACAAAATACCGTGCAATGACTGTGAGGTCAACTACATAGGCCAAACTAGTAGGTCGGGGGTAGTCAGATTGTCGGAACATAAGAATTTAGCTAAGGTAGGAATGGTTGACCCCACCCGTGAAGATAAGTAATTTAGAAAAAAGCTCAGCAATCGCACTGCATGCATTAACACACAATCACACAATAGGGTGGGTGGGAGAGGGTTAAAATTCTAAAAAGTAATCTCTGTAGGTGGAGAGAGAGAGAGGTTGATTACTGAATCCTTGTTCATTGAGTCTACATCGAACACATGCAATAGGAATGACTCATACCGGAAATATGGGAATCTTACTACCAATCAAATCAAGCGGTGAAAAATAATGATGGAATTATATAAACGAAGTTAGAAAGTTGTGTGAGTACCTTGATATGATTATGCGCGCAATAAATTTTTGATTGTTGCTGTAATTTAGTTTGACCAGTGATAGCTTTCTTGAAACAGAATCCTATTTTAGGTAAGTTTTCACACTGAGGTTATCAACTACAAAGAATCCTTACTTTGATTAGTGAAGATTTGCAATGTCACTAACTAACCCTTCTATTGAAGAGTGTACATCTAACGTTTATATTACTTAGTCGATCACTTTAAGATACACTGTCAATGTGTGACTGTAAGCCTTTTCATATTGGATTTCATCGTGTGTTGACATTGGTTAGAGAACCATTGGACCAGTAGCAGTGTCACCTGAAGGTCGCAGTTTCGAACCCCAGTGGTGGGTGCGTACTCTGATGAAGAGTCCCACACCTGGCACGAAACAAATTGTCTACTACTCTCTGCTTTTTTGTTTCTAATGGTTCTTCGACTGATGTCAGCTAATGATGAAATCTTCTAACCAATCAAATCAAATCCCTGCAAACCAACCTAATCAAATTCTTTACCTTCACAATAGTCATCTTGTGCAGACCTGCAGAACGAAAAGATTTAATACTTCTGTAGGCGAATGAATATGTCATCGTTACACACTTCCAGTGGTCTGGATATTGTCTGTGCAAACTGTAAAGAGAAAGTATTCCCAAATAGAGGATTTCATTTCTACAGGCAGACATTATTTTATTTTACAGATTAATTACACATTTAATATTTGTTGTTGCTTTTATCCTACTTTTTCTTCACAATTTCTAGAGAGATGGACTTCTTGTACAATTGAAAAAGCTGTTCAATGTAAATGTACAGATTTCTTGTACCTTAAAACATGTAAGTCTAATTTATTTATCTTTTTATTATACTACTTTATCGTTTATAAAAATTATATTTGTAAAATCTCAGCGAAGTGGAAATGCGTAATTCCAACATTTCCTGCATTCGGTAAACTGGTTTGAACGTCTTCAGGGAAATTAATTGAAATTAACATTAACTAAGTTAATCGGTGGATGGTGACTAGCAGTGGAATCCATCAGGATGCGCGCTTCGTCCTATTTTTGGGACTCGTCATCTGGATGTACTTGTATTCCGCAGTGAGTCATAATGTTCCCACCGAGGCTCAAACCCAGTGCCAGTAGCTTCAAACGCCAAAAGGCGTTATCCACTAGACCACTTGGGCCACGAGAGCCACCTTTTGTGCAACGGGTCATATTAATTATTTAATTGAATTTTAGATTTTCCCGTCGATTGATTGGACCGAAGTGCTCGGTCTCAGGTTGACATGTCAGCTTCTTGTGCAGATGCTTCGACGATGTCTGGTTCGAGCCTCGGTGGGAACATCATCACTCACTGCGGAATGCAGGCACATCCAGCTGACGAGTCCCAAATAGGACTAAATGCGCATCCTGATGGATTCCACTGCTTGTCGCCATCTACCAATTAGCTTCTAATTACATGCCTAGACACTGTAAATAGTGTGTACTTTTGCATCAGTTTTTTAGTGGTTACGTTCGACTAAAGTTTATGGTCGTAGATAACTGAATATGAAAATATATGTGTATATGCGGTATACAATGGTATATGTGTGGGTGAACAGTTGTAAAACATTTGTTAGCCTCTCCATAAGAAGATATAGACAATCGGAAGTTTTGACCAAGCAGGTTGGGTGTGAGGACAAATACTCTCCAGCGATGACATTGGCTAGCGGTCGCGCTATGTCGTGAATTGTCAGAAGTTGGAATTCATGAGCTGGCTGGCCATTGGATCGGGTCCCCGTTGCTTAACGATCTACGAGCTTGCCAGCTTTGTAACCAGTAGGTACTGGGTTCCGATAGTCTCGATAGTGGGTGGCTGCGTACTTATGAAGAGTCTAGGCTGACTAGGCTGACGAAACAGCTGTTCAGTACTCCCTGCAGGTTTTCCAATGGTTTCTTAACCAATTTCAGGTCAAGATCAAATCCTCAAACCAATCAAATACAATCCCTACAAAACCAATACTTGAAAAGTTTTTTGATTCTTACAATATCTACTGAGATTTAAGGAATGAGTACACAAAATAAACCATCAATATATGTATAAAAACTTTGAAGTAAAGTTTGTAATTCACTGACTCATATTGAACAATGAGTTGATGAATGGGACGGTGAAGGATTTCTTCAATTAATCGCCTCTAGATGCTAAACCTGGTTAACAGTTTGGTATCGTAATTCGCCTGGTAAGACGTCGAGCTAATAATTCGTGGATCACTGGTTCACAGTTTGTTACTTCTTAGATTTTCATTCAACTGTCATCAATCATCACCCATTAGACCGAATAGAAGCAGCCTGTCAACTTAAGGTTATCACTGTCTCAGCGTAAGCATGACATAATTGAAGTATTATAACAACAATAATAATAATGTAAAAACTGGCGTGGAATTATGCTTCTGTCCATTCCAAGCAAGATACTATGTCGCATCATCCTGGAGAGAATTAAACAAGCCCTAGATGAAAAACTTCGTCCGGAACAGGCCGGATTCAGGAGGAACAAGTCATGCATTGACCAAATCGCCACCCTACGGATTATCATTGAACAAAGTTTGGAATGGCAGTCACCTCTCTATCTCAACTTCATCGATTTTGAGAAAGCCTTCGACAGCGTCGATCGAGAGGTGATTTGGCAACTACTTCGCTACTACGGGGTGCCGCCGACAATTATACATCTCATCCAACAGCTGTATGACAACGCTGCATGCCAAGTAATCCACAACGGGAGGCTCACGGAATCCTTCGAAGTGAGGACGGGAGTGAGACAAGGCTGTCTACTGTCACCAATGATCTTCCTGATTGCAGTTGATTGGATAATGCGACAGACAACGGCAACCAACGAGGGAACAGGCATAAAATGGACCGACACAAAAGCCTTGGAGGATTTGGATTTCGCCGATGATATATGTCTGATTTCCCACAAACTGGAAGATATGCAAGTGAAAAGCAACAAATTGGCAGAAGAAGCAGCAAAGATAGGACTTTAAGTGAACATAGACAAAACAGAGGTAATGAAGATTCCTGGCCAACATCAACAGCAACAACCGACAACAATCAGCATAAATGGGAGGAACCTGAAGGAAACAACTTCTTTCACCTACCTGGGAAGCATCGTCTCAACTACAGGAGGGACTGACGAGGATATCAAAGCCAGAATCGGAAAAGCAAGACAAGTTTTCATTTCTCTCAAGTCTATGTGGAGGTCAACAGCATTCAGCGTCAAAAATAAGATCCGGATTTTCAACTCCAATGTGAAGGCAGTACTACTATACGGATCAGAGACTTGGCGTGTCACAAAGAGCAGCTCAAACAAGCTACAGACCTTCATTAACAAATGCCTTCGCTCAATACTCAAGATCAAATGGCCGGAGAGGATCAGCAACAAAGATCTCTGGGAGCGAACCAACCAGGAACCGATCGTGAAACAAATAGGCAGGAAGAAATGGAGATGGATTGGACACACTCTGAGGAAACCATCAAGTGACATCACTAGACAAGCCCTCGAGTGGAACCCGAAAGGGAAGCGACGAGTTGGCCGTCCAAGGGTGACCTGGAGGAGATCATGTGAAGAGGAATTGAAAGCGTGTGGGCAGACTTGGAGCCAGGTGAAAACTACAGCAGAGAACCGAACGCAATGGAGACGCATGGCTGAAGCCCTATGTTCCTCTAGGAATTAAAGGAAATAATAATAATAATAATTTGCTTTATTCCAAAGCTGTAGTGATGTTACAGTTTGGAATTTTCAGCATTTGGTACAATATCGCTTCTCACTTTGTTGAATTACTTTAAAAACAATTATAAAGATAATATCACAGGATTGTTAGTGGGAGTTCTTATTTGGTACTCGTAGTGACAGTGAAGTCATATGTGTACAAGGAAAGGTGTAAATAATAATGATAATGAGGTTAGTAGCTAAGGTTGTCAGTTAATTGAGATAGTGTCACACATAGATTACAAATTGGAGATAATAGAAGAGCCGATTATTTTGCACACAAAGTAGTAATTCATATGTTTCACGCTTTATACTGTCTCCATCGCATAGAACACGAGGTGGCCAAATATGATATCGTTGAGTTCCTTTACTTGGTAGTACGACTATGTACTCTTTTGTACTGATTTCTAGTTGTACCAGATGAGATACAAGTGTGGGGAGAGTTGAGAATAGAGGTGCTGGGTGTTGAGGGTGAGACAATCTGGATGTCGACCACTTTCCTCATTAGTTCAGATGTCTATCAACTAATGTATTAAGTGACAAGCTGACTGACTGAGTTGCACACCACTTGTCCTACTGACAACCTTTCATACCCTTCTCAATTTGACATAGTCCTTTTTGAGTAGACCAGGAAAGACTAAGTGGGATAGAGGTAGTAGTAAAGTACAAGAGGTCAGACACAGCAGTTAACAAATTGTAAAAGTAGAGGATGAGTGATTCCAGATAGTTTTGGCTTCCTTATGTAGTAGGTGAGACGGAACATTTTCATGGAGATCGACAAATTATTGGATGACCAAGTAAGGTGAGAAGATAAAACAACACTACGGTGTTTCGTGTTAGACCTGGTTTCTAATACATCGTGTGTACTAGCTAACCGGTTGTTGTAGATCACGTTTGTGTTTGAAGGCGAAGTGAATAGTCTGTCATTTTGATGTTTTAAGGCGAGACCGCTTAGCTTAAACCACTGACTGATGTCGGACAATGTGCTATAAAGTTTGGAACAGTTTGATTGGGAGTTGACACAGAAAGTGCGATGGTCAGATTGTCAGGGTATTTGACTGCGTTGATTTCGTCGGAGAGTGGTAAGTGATGTAAGAATGAAGAAAAGAGAAAAGAAAAGGAGAGAGAACAGCATCCTGATGAGCACTAGCTTCAGTATTCAAGGCAGAGAACGAATCTCTGTTGTACACAGTATACTGCATTCTGTTTGAAAGATAACACAATTATGAGATATCGTTGTATGTTTTATTGGAAAAACATCATTTCTACATGATTTATTGTGAGGTTGATTAAGCACCAACATTGTTGTCGTGTATTGTCAATGTAATAAAGTTGCTAACGGTATGTATGTGTGTCCACAACAATGCTAGGTGGCTCACGATCATGGTACACTCAGGATTGTTGTTATTAGTTGATTGGAGGCAAACTTGACTGATCGAATTCCGTGTCCACTAAACAAAGGACTAGATACATGACACTAGTTTTTGACTAGTGTCCAATCAAAAATATCTGATACAATCCTACAAGAGGTCAATGGCCATCCCGAATAGCTCAGTGGTAACGTCTCTGACTGCAGGCGACACTGGGTGACCGCACGGGTATGAATCTCAGGTGAAGGGACGTGAGTTGCAGATACGCCTTGCTGACTGTCCAACTTCAACTTCACTGTAGATGTAAATACTAAATGCTACTACTACTAGCAGTTGGTGAGATTTTCGGAGAGCTAAGAGCACTTTTTTCAATCTCATTATACACCTTGTTTATCAATAATGCTGTCTTTAAATTGAATGTTAATTCTCCCTATATTTGTGTTTGTTTGTCTGTTTGGTTGTATGTGTGTATGTGTATGTGTGTGCGTGTACCGATGTTGCATTCAGCGTCAACCGCCAAAATTGTCTGAAATTCGTGTTTGTATGAATCCTACTTTGGACTTCATCAGCTGTCCAACATCAGAAGAAGCAGAAAATGTAGAAGGAGGAGAACACAACCACGAAGAGCAACAACAACAACACCCTTTTAGTGTTTGTTATGCTAATGAATTCGGAGTTAATAATGATGTCTGTGAGACACATTTACCATGGTTAGATCTTTTCCCCAGTTGTCCAAGCCAACAACAAGAACAACAACAACAACAGCAGATGTGTACACCGCCAATGTTAACATCAAATTCCCCATGTCCTGAAGAGTTTATATTTCCAGATTTTACATGATTTACACTTATAAGAAAAAGAAATCATCTCTTTTTTTAAATTAATGTATACTCTTTAAATGAAAGAGTGAGTTACAGACAGCATGGCTGTCATATACTACTTATGAATATACATGTGATGTTGTTGTTTTCTTTTTTTAATGTTATTAACTCTTACTTTATGTCTATTTGTATCCTTTTATTTTTGTATGCTTTTTTGAAATGTACTCAATGTTTTACACTGATCTGTTAGTTATTTGTATTATTTTTTTTTACTATTATCACCACTATTCTGGTTTTACATTACTGTTTTTCTGTTTATTTTTGAAAGAAAACAAAAACTGCAATCATCATTTAGCATGCGATAAATACATAGCTAGTTGTATTTTGAGAAAAAAAGATAAAAAATCTTGCAATGTATGAACTCTCTATGGTATCTTAGTATATTTATGATTTTATGTGTCATCCCTGACACTTGTTGATGATGATGATGGTTAGTGTCAGCTTATATGATTATCAGCATGAAATTATGGTAGAATTAAAGTATTGTTTTAATTTTTATAGTGTGATAATTTTTTATGGCTTTTATTGAATTTTGGTTTAGTTTGAAGTGGTTTCAGATGGTTGACTGGTTGAGCGGGGCGTGGGTGGGTGGTTGGGGGGAAATCGGCAGCAAGCCATGCTTGACCTTGATTTCGTGCTGGTTAGCACTCACCAGTCGGCAAGGCGTATCTGCAAACTTGAAGGAACTCAGTGGTCACGTGGATGACAGCAGCACTAGAAGAGAAATGAATTGCATGGAGACTGCAGATACGCCTTGTTGATCGATGAATGTCAACAATCACGAAACCTAGGCCATGCAAGGCTTCCTGCTGATTGCTTCTAACCATCTAATATCAACGATTCTGATGAGTGCATCGTAATGGTGAGCCACCCAACCTGATGACCACATTGTGAACTTGACTTATAAGATTAAGTCTGCAGTAAGCAAAGGACTAGACACATTACACGAGTTACTTACTATCGTCCCGTCGGAGTGTATGTATAAAACAGGATTCTAAAACTGCGATAGGCGTGTCATATAAAGAAGGAATCTGCGAAACTTTACGCAGGATTCTTAACAAGGTGGTGATTAGAAGGTCATTGAAACTCTCAAAGAACACACTTGGAAATAAATTATGCCGTTGATGAGGTTTCGTTGAGTCTATAAATACGAAATAACCTAGATTATTTAGCACTTTGCATTGATTGAGAGGTCAAATATATTAGTTTTAGGAGTTCATCGTTGAATGACATTGGTTAGAGAACCATTGGAAAACCAGCACTGGAGTACTGGACAGCCAGCTGTTTCATCAGCCTAGTTTGCGACTCTTCGTCTGTACTCACCCTCCGCGGTTCGAAACTAGTTCTTTGAGCTCGCCTTATAACCAGAAGCTTCTGGGTTCAGACGGTAGCGGTGGGGTTCTCCAATGGTTCTCTAACCCACGTCAGAAGTTGATCGAACCTGTAGCAAATCAATCAAATCCTTGCAAACCAACACTTGATAAACAATTCAGTCACGTTAGTATGTAGCATTTTATAATCAAGAAAATATAAGTTTCCGGGGATGAGTTATATTCAATATTGCGAGAATGTATGCATGGAAACCACAAAATACAAACGAACAAAAAAAATGAGGCAAATTGAGTGTAAGTTTGACGACTGACAGATAACAAATATAATGATAAATTGAAGAGGTCCAATGGTGAACTGTAATCGAATAATAGAGAGGAGATAAGCTTCGTATAAATGCAAAGGTTGACAAATACTGATGGTGTGAAGTAAACTAGGTGAAAAGGAATGAATGAAAAGGCATGATGAGACATGAAGATATGAGATGATTACAGCCCTGACGACGTTATAGTAGGCCTGGGTAAACAAAGAGGATGAATGTGCTGTTTTCGCACACATAAGTCAAGTTTATTCCTAGTAATCCCTTCAGCTTCGTGCATCCTTCAGGCAGATTGTTTGCTACTCCATACAAAACCGTAAATGACTCATCTATTTTGATACGATATTCTCTGTCCGTTAGATGAGACAAAATGGCGCCATTTATCGATTGATTTGGTTACTTCTTTTGCGAACCAAGCTGGAACATGTTCATGAGAAGGCAAAGATTTAACGAAATCTAGACTAGTAGACTCTGGTAAGGTAAGCAATCTAGAAAACAGTTGAACTACAGTACTTCATGCAGTTCAACACAATCACACGTACGACGGAGTAAAGTGACAGTTCGAATATCCTACGATGGAGAGAGACAGTGGGGTGGATGGATAACGGTAGCTTTATTTATCAAATTAACTGGGATCAACTGCCACAGGAATGATGCAGCACTTACTTGTCTTTTTTATTTTTTTAATTCCTTCACGTTCCCAGTGGAACACTGGGCTTCAAGATAGTCTTGAAGTGTCTGTAGCAGTGTTTATTTTTACAGGATGGGGTTGCTAGCCTCATGCCCAACCTCTCCTCTTCACCAGCTTTTTTAGTTCTGGCTTAGCGAGGTAAAGGAGTGCTCCGGCCGGGGATCGAACCCCGGACCATGTGCATGGTTGGCGAGCGTCCTAACCGCTATGCCACCGACGCACACAACTTGTCTAGGGAATTTTTAATGTTGGTTAGTCGTTAGGCGTAGAGTGTTGGGCAAAGAGGGAAAATCAATCGAAGAGGCTATAAAGTTACATAGATTGAGATGGCTAGGTCACGTGCTGCTCATGACTAACCATCGCCTCCCCCGACGGACATTACTAGCTGATATAGGTGCAGGTTGGAAAAGAGTAAGTGGTGGCCAAACAAAAACATGGCATCAATCCATGAAATCCCTGACAGTTAAACTGAGTCAGGTAGGGAGATACAGACTTCCGGGTTGGGGCCCGCCCTCGGGACTCTAAGAATCAATGGCTGGAGACAATAGGTGACATGGCTCAAAATCGTTGTCAATGGCTTACGCAGATGTATTCAGTCTCTGTAATCTTTCATATTCCTTTCTACCATTACTCATTCTGTTTCACTGTTATACTTGTCAAAACTCTATTGATTCTCTTCACTCATCTTCTTGACTACGTTTGTGTGCTCTTGGGAACGTGGCAACTCGAACTGCTGCACTTCTATGTTGAATCCAGCCAGCCAGCCAGGGAATGTTTACTAGCCCTTAGGAAAATGTGAAAGAGGAACGAGTTGTGTGATATGATTATGAACTACTAATTGTGTTCGACACGTTATTCAGTGAGTAATAATAATTTTTCCCGTGCGTGATATATCCGCTAGACAAATCTTTTTGAGAATTGAGCATCTAGTGTCTCAATGCAGTAGGATCACTGATCAATGACATTCAACTATCCTGAAACGAAAGATTGGAATGTCAAACTAACGTGAATTATACATAAACTGTGTATAATACTTATAGGATTAAAAATAAAACAGTGAGCTAGCTGTATAAAAACGCGGTGGGTGCATTATCCGTGTCTGGCGACGGCCTACTTAAATCACTGGCCTACCAGCATTTCCATTCATCAAAATGTTTAAGCTTCTCTGCATTCCTTATTGTTTTAATCGTGCAATTATATCAAATTATCACTAAATAAACTCGAGCACATACTTAATTAGCTTGATTCTTGGGGTAGCTGAAATAGAAAAAGAGTTAGCGTTGCGTGACTGCAGAGCTCAGGGGACAAGTGCTTGAGACGGGTCACACACATCCTGTGTGGACTGGTTTCTTGGGTTGGTTCCGGCCGGCTGTGGGGTGTGTCGGGATGTACAGTTGTTGGGGTCGACCTTTTCTAACCTCCTCTCTTCAAAGTGGAGAGACAGCATAGCTGGCTGGCATGCTCGTCGTCTGAGGGAAACACCTTACTGCTCTTACATCCGTGTTCCGCAGCAGTACGACTTCGCCCACAGACTCCCAGCATAGTGTAACAACAAAAATTCACACACACTATGCCGATAACTGCTTTCAGCCCGACCACCACGTCAAGGTAGCAGCTGTCGGTCGGGGATCAGCTTCTCACTAAACGCCGTGCAATTCTTGAAGAAAAAGTGTAGAGAATTAGTTCTCTCTTCACATGGAATACTTCAGATTATTATTTCACATGTAAATCCTGTATGAAGAGGAAATACTTGGGAACTAAATGCGTTGGAAACTTCTGTCATATGTATGTTCCCATATTATCAGAAATAAAGCTCTACTATTATTATTATTATCATTACTGCTGATGAGTTCACCCAAACTAGGCTGACGAAACAGCTGGTTGTCCAGTACTCCCTGCTGGTTGTCCAATCCTTCTCTTAACTGTAACATCAATCCGTGGTCTAACTTGAGAAATAAAATAAATTATACGTTGCAGAACACCGATTTGTTCAAAATTTCTGAGATGAGAACACACATGATTAATAGTGATTATTCTAAATTATAGTGTACTATTCTAACCTACAATTAATTGTTTCACACTTCACATACTAATCTGCACTTTGAAAATAATCCAGTTGAATTAAGCATACAAACTAGCCAAAAGGAATTATAACTTTATAAAAACCAACCGCTTTATATATATACACCGATGAAATAAGAAATTTCCAGCATATACTATATTGGTGTGGATGTTGATGTTGTTTGAAGCCGCTTGTAGTATTGGGGCGACTAACGGAATAGATAAAGACATTGATGCAAATCTCATGTTATCAAATGATTTGAATGGGAAATGTAGAATTCTCTTTGGTAATGAAGGTCTGCACGTCATATAACAAGTTGAAGTATGTCTCCGACAGTATCAAAATGATCGCGGGATTTCATCGTGACCAGATGTCAACAAGATAAGCATTGGAAAACCAGCACTGGAGTACTGAACAGCCAGCTGTTTCGTCAGTCTGATTCGGGACTCTTCCTCAGTACTCACTAACCGCGTTTTCAAACCAGGACCTTCATTTTACAAGGCGTGCTCGGAGACCATCCAAATAAAGAGATTTTCCAATGCTTCTCTAACCGATGTCAGCTTATAATGATATCGTGTAACCAGTTCGTCAAATCCCTACAAGCCAATACTCATAAATTAATTTTGATGACCAACGTTTAAATTAGTCACCTAGGTATTAGGCACCAAGTGGATATAAAGCACTACTATTTACCTGCTATATATATATATATATATGCATATATATACTGTTTACATTAATCCTATTGAGGTACATCTTGTATTCAACTGGACGTTTGTATTTAGTATGCAATGTGTATTTTGTCGTCTAATGTCACAGGATTTCATCATTAGCTGAAATTAGTTAGACAACCATTGGAAAACCAGCACTGGAGTACTGGGCAGCCAGCTGTTTCATCAACCTAGTTTGGGACTCTTCTTCTGTACGCATTCAGTCACACGGTTTGAACCCAGGGCCTTCTGGTTACAAGGCGAGCGAGCTCGTAGACCATTGAGACACTGGGATCCGATCCAATGGCCTCCAGTCGATAAATTCCAACTTCTGCCAATTCACGACATAGCACGACCGCTGGCCAATGTCATCGGTGGTGAGTATTTGTCCTCG